ATCTCCTCCACTCCCTCCCTTGGATCTTCACCGATTCTTCACCATTTTGGCGGATCGAGATGGCCCCGAGGAGAGAACCGTAAGCTCCTCCGATCCCTCCAATTAGTTTTTGCAAACTTGCTACCGATTCGACGCATTATTTGCTTGAAATCCCTCATGTTTTTGAACTTAGATTGATTTTTTTTCACCTAAGATTGATTGTAGTTGTAGTTCTTAGTTCTTTAGTAAGTAGTGGTATTGGATATGTACTCTAATCAATAGTTCATATGTTAGTGTGAAGATGAACCCTAGTTCATAATTTTTTTTGTTAAAAAAATTATGATGTAATGTTGATAAAGGGATGAACCCTAGTTTGATGATGCATGTGATATGATGATATGATCTAGTGTGAAGATGAACCCTAGTTTGATGATGCATGTTGATATGATGATATGAAGATGTTGTTTGGAAAATTTTGTTTAAAAATATGAAGCTATGATGTATGTTGGAGGTTTTTTTTGATATGATGCATGTTGATATGATTTGATCCATCATGTGTAGTAGATGTTGTTGGAGGAATATGCTTAAAATGTTATCTTGATATGATTTGAGTTCATTGTTTGTTTATGTATGCTTATGCTTATGATGCTTTTGTTTATGAAACTCTATTAAGGCGGCCACCTCTTGAGGACAACATCAGCCCACGGTACTGCATGCTGGACTGGGCATTCGACAAGGGTCATCGTGCCCGTTTCATAGAGAACGGAGAGGTAAGTGATATGAAAGAAATTTTGATCAAAGTTCTCGGATTGATGAAAATGATTTCCTAACTTTTTGGCGTTCACTTTTTGACAGACGCTCCAGCCATTGCGCATGAGGGGTCACGGGGTTCATGGGCATATGGACTACGACGAGCGCTACGCGCCGTTCTGCAAGAGAGCCCGTCTGTTGGGTTTCGTGCTGCAGTTCAAGCGTCAGCCGCCGACGCTTGTCCACGCGGCTCTCACAGCTCTGATTGACCATTGGAGACCGGAGACCCATTCTTTCCATCTGCCATGCGGGGAGATGACGGTGACCCTAGAGGACTGGGGGATGATTACTGCAATGCCGATCGAGGGTCATGCACTCACCGGTCGAGTGGAGAGGGCCAACTGGCAGGAGAGGGTCACCACCCTCATCGGCGACTGCCCCGGTGCCAAGAGTAACCGTACATCCGGTGTGCCGTTGACCTGGCTCTCAGAGCACCGGAAGACATGCCCCCAAGGCGCAGACGAGGCGACTGTGGAGTTGTACGTGAGGGCCTATCTGTGGTATATTCTCTCGGAGGTCGTGTTTCCAGACAGCTTCGGGAACTCTGCCAACTGGGCGTATATGTTCTTCCTAGCGGATTGGGATGCAGGGTACAGTTGGGGGACGGCATCTCTCGCCTACCTATACCGTTCGGTAAGAGAGTGTCTAATTGCGTACCTACCTACGAAAGTGTGTCCATGACATTTTCTTATATCTGATCCTCATTTGATGTTTTGCAGCTTGATGACGCAACGCAGAGGACGGGAGACAAGTCCAATATGGGTGGCTTTGTCTGGGCCTTCTCCATTTGGATGTGGGAGCGGCTGCCGGTGGGGCGTCCGGAGAAGTTGCGAAGACGCCCATGGGAAGACTATGGTGAAGAAGGCGACGAGACTCGAAACCCCACCGTAGCTTACGAGTGGGACGTTGTCAAACTCTACACGGGCCTAAACAAGACTTCGTACAAGGCCTCGATGGACGGCGGAAGACATCGCGGAGCTGGAGTGGGCTGACCCCGATGAACAGGCATACCAGACCGCCATCAGAGACATGCACAGTGGATTTAGGGAGTTTGCACCCCTCATCAACAGAGTGGTAAGTTCAAACCGACGGTTGATTTTAAAATATTTTATTCATCATCGTGACTGACTTATGCCGTTGCAGTCCGGTGAGTTGAACAGATGCATCTTCGATGCCTCAGATGCACTAGGTGATCTTCCCGGGAGCATAGAATCGGAGACCAGAGTCAGGGGGACGATGAAGGTACATTTTCAGCCTCCTCGGAACAGATGCATCTTTTTCACTTGCAATCAGTCGATCTGATACTTATTATGACCTTGCTTCATTGTGTGTGCAGAAGTTCGTGCAGCGTTGTCCCAAGCTGGTAGGGCTGCTTGGGTGTGCTGGAGCTGGGTCAATTGAAGCTTATCAGCCTGTAGCCACACAGGGTATCATCGGCTCATCGAGCCATGCTCCCTCGTCATCTAGGTTGGTTGGGGAGGAGGAGGAGGAGGAGGAGGAGGCCACATATGAAGAAGGGGAGGAGGAGGATGAGAGCAACGGGGAGGAGGAGTACGATGAAGATTATGGACCTCCAGCAACTCAAACGTCTCAAGCATCTCAGCTGCCGAAGAAGAGGAATCCGAAGACGAAGGATTTGCTGAGTCCGGAACCTTTCCAGAGACCGGTTCCTCGACGGCCCAAGAAGAAGGCCGAAGACACTCGTTCAAAGAGTAACGAGGACCGTACCTCTAAGAGGGGAAGGAGCAACTGATTATGCTCTTCAATAGTTGGCTCTATTAGTTTGGTTGAACTTCGTTTGGTTGAACTTTTCTAGTGGTTATGAAGCTACGTGGAACTATGTGTTTGCTATTTGTGGATCTATGTGTTTGCTATTTGTGAAACTATGTGGAACTCCGTTTACTAATTAGTTGAAGTTCGTTTGAAATGTTCTATGCACTTCAAATTTGTTAATGTGTATGTGATGCCCAAGTTTAATTGTTTGAGATCTGTGATATTGTTGTTATATTTATGAAACTTGCTATAATATTACTGTCATATTGCATTTGAAAAGAAGCAATCAATTGAACTTAAATTCATAAAACACAGGACCCTACCGCCAAGGACATTGGCGGTAGGGTCAGACAGCCTACCGCCAGGGCACTTCAGTTCTTCATTACAGAAACATTGCACTGAAAAAACGGGACCCTACCGCCATGGGCTCTGGCGGTAGGGTCGCACAGCCTACCGCCAGGGCCCTTCAATTCTTCGTTACAGAAACATTACACTGAAACAGGACCCTACCGCCATGGGCTCTGGCGGTAGGGTCGCACAGCCTACCGCCAGGGCTCCTGGCGGTAGGTGCTTAACCACGTTCAGCGCAGTCAAACGGCCGCCGTCCCCCTCCGTCGCACCCCTACCGCCATGGGCCGTGGCGGTAGGCTATCTAACCCTACCGCCAGAGGCCCTGGCGGTAGCAAAAGGGTCAAATCTCGAAAAAAAAATTAAACAGGGGTCAGATCCTGAAATACTATCCAAAAAGGGTCAAAACACGAAATTCGGTCGGCGCGCGCACCCCTCCTCCACTTTTCGCACCTAGAGGCTAGAGCAACTTCGGAGGAGCTCACTCCACGGTCCACACCATCGGGGTTGAGCAAGCAATTCCGCGTTCATCCATGGCCAAGCAACTCCGGACCCCCTCCTCTATTTTTCCCACCTGGAGCAACACGACAGTAGGACGGTTCCATATATAGCCAAGGCACTACTCCCTCTGGTTTCATAATGCACTGCATATATGTCCCTAAATGACACTTCCTCCGTAAACTAGTAGTATAAGACAGCAAAGGGAGTAGGTGTCACACATGTGACACAAAGTAACACCGCTTTTTACACCTAAAATTGTCATCCGAAAAAAAACTAAAACTTATCCAACAAAAAGTTGTCATGCTTCACCATAAAAGTTGTCATCCTTGGCTAACAAAACTTGCCATTAAAAAATGTCAGGGCGGAATTACTTCGTGTTATACGTGTGACACTTATCAGGATATTATATATTTATTGAAAGGTCAGTTTTTATAAACTTTGACAAGTTTATACGAAAAACTATTAATATCTACAATACCAAATATATAAAATATGAAACTATATCTTATCATGAATCTAAAGATGTATGTTTGGCATTTTAGATGTAGATATTTTTCTCCATAAACTTGATCAAAGTTTGTGAGGTTTGACATTTAAAAAAATTGTATGCACTACGTTATGAAACGGTGTGAGTACTTTCATAGTTTCACTCACTCCACTCTCGGCTAGTTTTTTTTTTGGCCTTTTCTTTTCTATGTTGGTATGCGTCGTCCCTGCCTTCCTCTTCTCTCTCCTCCATGCTTCAGTGTGGATCAGTGGTTGGAGTTTTCAGACCCTTTTTATCTTGTCCCACGGTGATTAAGGTGACCATCCCTCTACACAATACTTTAAGTATATCCATTTATGCTTAGTGACTGCTCATCTTTTACATGCTCTTTAGAGAAACTTCTCGCCGCCGCCAGATATCCGTCATAGTATTATCAGTACTCCCTCCATTCCATAATATAGTGCGTCTGCGCTTATGAAATGGAGGAAGTAAGAGATACGTACAATGCTTGTGTGTAAAGGCCCATATTTCGGCCGAACTTAGGTCTCTCGGGTTACTGAACCAAATGGAGTGCAACTCATCCAACTTTTTTTCTTAATTGGAATTTAAAGTTAAAAATATGAATCTGAAGCATAAGATTTTAATATAAATGTTAAAATAAAATCAAAATTAAATTATCCAAAATTGATTAAAAAATCATAATGTACTTGGTATAAAAAAATTGTGT